CACAGAGCCTGATGTGGGGCTCGAACTCACGAACTGCGAGATCACGACCTTAGCCGAAGTTGGACACTTAACCGACTGAGTCACCCAGACGCCCCTCCATAGGTTTCTTTAATTGTGTTTTCTGTGAATTTTACTTTAATTTTTCCTCACAAAGTGCCAGTAATCTTTCTCATGGGGCCTGTAACTAGAGCCTTTGGAGACTGGCACCCCTCTCCCAGATAAGAGAGCCTGTTCCCGTAGCCACGCATTCTGTCCACGTGTGCTGGGGTTGCTTTCTCAGCACAACACAGCTCTCCGTATTACTTTTCTCCTAGAGAGCCTCCAATTGGATTAGCAAAGAAAATGATCCTATGATGTCATTTTTCCACATAAATCATCTTAGGTGGTAATGCTAGCTTCGTTTTGAATGTGTCTCAAGCTAATATATAAAAGAAATTTTATATGTAGATAACTGTATATAGTATTTGAACTAGACAGGCTCTAACAATGACTTATTTTAAAATAAAAAATTCATAACCTTTGCAAAGGAAAGTAATAAAGGGTGTCCTTTATTGGTTTTATTTTACCCACGCCTTTAGTGTTAATGCAAATATTCATATTTTGCAAAAACATCAGCATACATACATGTGCATGCAAATATGTGACTGTTGTACCTAATGAGAACCCCCCTTTTTTTAATAGGGTAAAAGCGTACTTGTGGAAATGATGTATCAAACGGGAACATATAAATTAGCCTTCATAAAGCAGCCGCGGATGCAAATTCTGGAGCTGCCCTACGTGAACCACAAACTAAGCATGATTGTTCTGCTTCCCGCGGGCACGGCCAGCCTGGAACAGGTGAAGTTAGAGAATGCTAATGTGAAGAGGAAACACATGTGCACGTGGGTGTGACGCTAGTGTGGTCAGTCCCTATTTCAGTCACACGCTGGGTTCAGCGGGTAGGCCGCAGGGGCTGTGAGAGGAAGGGGGACCCTGGGCCCTGCCTTCGGGACCATGCATTTCAGGGGGAATAATCTATTCTTCCATAAAAGAGGGCACAAGGAGGCAAAAGTGCCATCTTGGACTAATACATGCACCTGCTGCTTACTTGACATTTGGGAAGCATCTTTCTCTAGTGATGGATTTGTAATGCCGGTTAGGGTCTTAGTACACAGCAATCTAATTAAGCCACCTTCCACTCGGGAGCAGTTTTTCCAACCCAGTTATAACATGCTTTCATGAGGCAACCACTCTTTCTTAGCATCCTGCTATTGTAGGGGAAGTGAGTGCCACAGCCATTGAGAAAAGGTCATGGTGGTGGCAGGGGTTTGGGTCAAAGCCCCCCTCTCTGGCTGCAGCCAAAACTGCCTAGCACAGAAGCAGGCAAGCCACTGACATGGAGCGAGCGCGCCTCGCCAGCCTTGCTGGAACCCTCCAGTGCTCTGCGGGAATGACAAAGAGGAAGCTGACGTACACGCACGGATGGGATGGTCCCGGTCAGAGGTTTCTAAGGCAGGGAGCGCCTGCTTGAGGTTAAACAATGTGGCACGGGCGGGTGGGGCCTAGGAAAGGCTTCTTGAAGCACCTGGGTTGGGATGTGTGTGTGTGGACCTCTAGGAAGAGAAGCATGGCTGTGGCCAGGAGAACAGGTGTGATACTGGCATGGCCGATTCAGAGGGGCTCAGACCTCTGGGCACCTGTTGGGGACTGCCAGGGAAGATATTTGGAGGCAGATAGCATTTTGGAAGCAGTGTAGAAGTGGTCTTTATTAGCTTGTGATGCATTCATTTTATCTGTTCGTTTAGCCATTCATACACCAAACATTGTTTATGCTGAGAATTCTAGTGGGTTCTGGAACATAGAACATAGACGTAGTGGGTTCTGAAACATAGACAAACGTGTGGTTCCAACACACAGTTATAAATAGCATGTAACAAGTGCCATGATACTCTGCTGGAAGTCCTGTGGGAGTAGAGAGAGTAGACAATGAGGGGATCTGGAAGGCTCCTAGTAGAGTAACCTTGATGTCGCACAGGTGGAGGGGTAGAAGATGAATAGGTGAACAAGGGTACCCTGTGGTTCCAGCTAGAGCAAAATGCTCATGAAAATGCCCTAGAGATATGAGACCAGCAAGACAGATTTGCATCATGATAACTCTGATTAGGGCAGAAAAGGACAAAAGGAAAACATAGTTTATGTCTGATTGTATATTGTCAGGATGGAGAGAAGGTGACAAAAAGTTTTCAACTCTTGTCGTGGGATGATGGGCTTTGGCCTGCTGGTCTTGGAGCTGTGGGGAGGACTGGCTGGAGGGATCACATGCCCAAGGGGAGCAGTTTGAAGGGTTTACACAGAATGATGGCACTGGTGGGGGTGATGAGAAGGGGCCTGGTAGGCTACATGGCTGAGCGGAGGTGTGGAAGGTATGTAGAACCTCAGTTCTTCGGGACTTCGGGAGTAGTCACATAGCAGAGGCAGTGAGGGCAAGGGCAAAGTCAGGAGGGAAGCCAGGTGTAACGAGGGGATCCTGGCATCACAGAAGTCAAGTGAGCAACAAATTTGTAATAGAGGGTGCGATTTAATGTTTCGGAGTTGAGAACCAAGTCAAGAAATGGTGACTTAATCCAGGAAACACAAGGACTTCAGAGGCAAGAGAGGGAGTTTAGGTGAAGTCTGCATCTGAGGGAGTTAAGGCAGAAGACTGTAGGATACACGTTTGGGGCGTTTACTTATGAAACATCGATGAAAAGTAGACAATAGAATGGGGAAGATGTGGCTGAATGCCACATTCTTTGTGTTTTTTGTTTTTTTTGTTTTTTCCCAGATAGGACTTGAGCATATTTTCAAGGTACAAAAGAAAGCAATACATGGAATCATGCACACTGAGAATTATAAAACGAATGGCATTTAATGCCACAGGCACGTGTTTGGCTTACATGGGCTCATCTGTGTTTTGTCTCTTAGATAGAGAAACAGCTGAACATGAAGACGTTTTACGAGTGGACCAGCTCTGCTAACATGGTAGAGAGGGAAGTTGAAGTGCATATCCCCAGGTTCAAACTTGAAATGAAGTATGAGCTAAATGCTTTGCTAAACTCCCTTGGGATGACAGATGTCTTCAACGAAATCAAAGCTGATCTCTCTGGAATATCACCAGCCAAAGGCCTGCATTTATCAAAGGTCATCCACAAGTCATACGTGGATGTCAATGAAGAGGGCACCGAGGCAGCAGCAGCTACTGGGGACAGCTTCGTTGTAAAAAGACTCCCCATCCGAGCTCAGTTCATGGCGAACCACCCTTTCCTGTTTTTCATAAGGCACATCCCTACCAACATGATCGTCTTCTGTGGCAAGCTCGCCTCTCCCTAAACAAGTGGGGCTGAGGGGGGCTCAGGGTCACAGAAGAGGTACAGGCACAAACCCATGACTAAAAGTAGCTCATCCCTTACACACCTCTGTGCCTTACTTTGCTCATCAGCAAAATGGGTCTAGGATCTCTCTCAATTTACACCTTGAATTGGTGAACCCTAAAATTACGGAAATCATGGAAGAAGATACATTTACAAAAAAAGCTTCTCTGGTTCTCTTATCTTTGGGGCCTCATTTAAGTGCTATCTGGGTGACATGATCAAGTCGATGAGAACAGTTTTCAAGGGTTAGATTTACTTGACTTGTATATATCAGTGATCTCTTGAACAAGTGACCAATCTACCTTCAGAAAACTAAATTAAGGGCTTCAGCTTTGGTTGGATTTTTAAATATTATAGTTTTCCTTGCATGTGTAGACATAACATCATGAATTTTAGTTCAAAATTCTGTATTCATTATAATAAACATACAAAATGCCTTCAGTTCTGTGAAGATTTTTAATATACTCCAGTAATTAAATGACTTACCAAAGGAGATTGAAGAAGGAGGAGTCTGAATCAACATTTTCGTGGAATTTTTGGCCAAATGTTTTCAAGCCCTAAATTGGATAACTGATGTTTCTTTTTGCCTCCCTCCCTTCCTTTATTTTTTCCATTTTTCCTTCATTTTTCTCTTTCCCTCCCTCCTCTCCTCTCTCTCCTTCCTTCCTACCTTCTTCCCCCCTCTCTCTTTTTTTTCAATAATGCAATGAATAAAAATTCAGAACAGCAAAAACAGAAATCAATCAGGAGATTTTTATTTAAAAGATAACCTTTTTAAAAAAAGAAATCCTCCTTAATTTCTACTCAAGATAACATGAAGTGATAATCAGATAATAATGGCCATGATACATTTACTGCCTTTTCAGTGCCCTCTTCATAAATGCTTCCTACCAGAACTCTCTCAGAGATGTGAACAAAGCATAGGGGCCCTTCAGTTCTCTCTTCCGTAACCCAATCTTAGAAGAGGCAGTCCATAACAGGCCACTGCTTCCCCCCTAAGGTGATGGGACACGCTCTTTTTCTACTGACAGTGGGGGCAGCCAGTGATGGCTTTTTTTCCCCATCAGGGCACTGAAGGATGGGCTATCCTAATGATCCTTTATAAGCCCATTTGTCACATGGCATAGAGCCAAGAGGCCACTTTGGCCTACTTCACAGAATAACCCAGTGGTCCCCGAGCACAGAGGGTTTCACTGTGCTACAGTGGAGATACCTGAAGCAACAATGATGGGTGGAGAAAAGAGTTGTATCTTGGCATCTACTATTCACTTTAAACATCCTAAAGAAACGATGACTAGGACCTGTCCGGTGAATGCCGCGTCCTTCTACGTGAACCTGGCATATGCTGTATAGGAACTCAGGGGTATCACATAGGCCAAGTGCTGTGGGCTTGACCATAGCAGAGCATCATGGCGCTCACTTGGCTTGGCCTCTGTCTGTTAAAAAGACTCAGACTGAGTGTCTGCTCACAGGCTGCAGTCCTAGAACCCCAAAACCCGCTTGAAGGGATGGGGACTGAGCTGGTGATGGTCATCATTTAGAGTCAAAGCCAGGAATAAGTCTCAGAGAGGGGCCTTCAGAAACACCAGTGTGAGTGCTGGGATAGGAGAGGAGAACTTGGAGAGACAATGACTAAATCAGCCTGGGAGAGCAAAGTTGGGAGGGGTGCTGGAGTCATTCTCCGAAGTCTCTTTGTAGGATGGGGAGCTTTTTAGGGCACCCAGGCACCCGTTGCAGGGAGTATGGCCAGAGTTGCAAAAGATGAGTCCTTAAACAAAATGCAGTTAAGTGAAGGTCCTCATGCTGAAGTCAGAATGAGGCCCCCTTTTATTAGGGAAATTGCTAAAGACTACGTGCAAAAAGTCAGCTAAGCGAGTGTGTTAATCAACTTAATGGTTTTGTTTTTCAAGGTTGAATTTCTAGATGATTGTTCTTTATGACCAGGAAGGGTCAGGCATGAAGGCCCTGGACAATGCTCATGGCTCAAGGCATTCCTTAAGAGCAGCTGTGAAAACATGTCCTAAGGCCTTGCACCTGCTGCAGCCTTTCCCTTTTGAGGTCTTTTCCTTTGATGTTTTTCTCCTACATCTCCCCCAGATACGGAGAACACAGCTATTTTCACTCTTCCAAGAGCTAACATTATATGTCGACTATATCTCAGTAAAAAAAAATGGGCAAAGGACCTGGAAAGACATTTCTCCAAAGAAGACCTCCAAAAAGCCAACAGGTACATGAAAAGATCACTCAACATCACTAATCGTCAGGGAAATGCAAATCAAAACCACAATGAGATATCACCTCACACTTGTTAAGATGGCCGTGTCAAAAAGAAAAGCACTAACCAGTGTTGGCAAGGATGTAAATAAAAGGGAACCTTATGCACGGTCAGTGGCAGTGTAAATTGGTTTAGCCATTACTGCAACAGTACAGAGGTTCCTCAGAAAGTTAAAAACAGAACTGCTATAAGATCCAGCAATCCCATCTCTGGATACATATCCAGTGGAAATGAAGTAAGTGTATTGAAGATACATCTGTACTCCCAGGTTCATTGCAGGACTATTCATAATATCCAAGACAGGAAAACAACCCAAGTATCCATCACGGAGAACCATGAAACTGTTGAATACAACACCATATGGGAGGATACGTGTATGACTAATGCCAGATGTTAATAATGGGGAAATTCAGAAGGATGGGCAAAGGGAGTAGATAGGAAGTCTTTTTGCTCGATTTTTCTGTAAAGCTAAAACTGCTCCAAAAAACTTAAAGACTAATAATTAAAAGAAAAAAAAAAAAGTTAGTAGGGAGGAAATCTCCTTTACATGGATTTCAAAAACCAAAAAGTCTCTACCTTTTTTTTTAGGTGTTTTCTGATAGTATTTTGTTTTCATTTCTATCAGTTTTATTCCCTTTCATACTTAAACACTCTTCTTAGTTTATCAGTCATCTTTTTTTCTCTCTCTTATTTCAGGAACACTGAACCTCCAGATCAGTGTTTGGTATATACAATGTCACAGTGACTCAGGCAAAATCGCTGCTCTCCTAACTGCATTCACATCCTCACTATAATGTACAGGGAAGCCTGGGACGCCCCCCTGGACAGTAAATAGCATCAAACCAGATTCTGCGTCCTTGTGTATCAACGGGGCATAGAACGTCGGACTTTTCTCGGATCTCTCTTCAGAGTGACCTCCTCCGTGTGAAATTACTGCACAGTTAAAGATGAAGTGAAAAAAAAAATATGGTACAGTGAGAGATTTGTCTGTGTGTTTACTGATAAGTATAGCTTTTTCCCTTGACTTCTAATTTTTTTTTTTTTTTTTTCAGGAGCAGAATGGAATGGCAGAAATGAAGACTTAATGGAGACGCTTCTTGGGGAGAAATCCCCCTCAGACTTCTGCATTGAGGAATCTAGATCCTTCTCCCCATGCTGTCCTTGGAGTGCCTGGATTAATGGGGTAACCAAAATACTGGTGTGACTGGCCCAGTCTTGGCTCACCTCTGTTGTCCTTGTGTAACAACCAACAGCTTCCCATTTCATGCTCAAAAGTATCCTGGTTTGGATTATAAGTTATATGGTTTTCCTACCTTAATCCTACTGGATATTATGTCATGGTCTGTGGTCATCCTATCAAATGGCTGTTAGTTACCTAAGGCAACAGAAAAGGGCAGCTGGAAGGAGGCTCCAGTTCTCCCAGTAGCTATAACACTGATGCTCGACCAGCTCTTGGTGTTTGCTTTCATGTCCCATGTTCCTTTGATTCACTTCCTGAGAGTGTCATCCCTCTTCTTGTTTTGGGGCCTTTCTCGGGGAAGCTGCTCCTTCTCTGTCTTATTGTGGGGGAACCTTCTTTTGTTTCTTTCCATTGGTGGCACTTGATTTTTTCTTTGGGTCAGTAGAGAAAGCGGAGTTCAGTGAGGCACCCAGCCCACCCTCAGTCCGACACAAAAAAGCACGTGTACCTCCAGTCAGCCCCAGATTTGCTGCCCAAGAGTGAATGACTTTAAATTTTTTTTTTTTCAACGTTTATTTATTTTTGGGACAGAGAGAGACAGAGCATGAACGGGCGAGGGGCAGAGAGAGAGGGAGACACAGAATCGGAAACAGGCTCCAGGCTCTGAGCCATCAGCCCAGAGCCCGACGTGGGGCTCGAACTCACGGACCGTGAGATCGTGACCTGGTTGAAGTCGGACGCTTAACCGACTGCGCCACCCAGGCGCCCCAAGAGTGAATGACTTTAAAAGATTGTTGTCATTTCATTATTCATTTATAACCTGGTTAATTTTTGGAAGATATATTTCTGGAGCACCTAAGTTCTAAGCCTTGTGTGTATTATTATACATATTATTTATGTATTTTATTCATTACATACATATATACATATATGTGTGTGTGTGTGTGTGTGTATATATATATATATATATATATGAATTTATGTATATATAAAATGAATACCAAAGAGCCTCAGAGCCTCAGTCCTTGTCTTCATAAACAGAGAAGCCAGACTTCAGAACAGTAATGCCACTTGGGTGCTGGGCGCTGTGAGAAGGCTTCGATGGGCAAGGACAAGGGTTGAGTGATGGGTGAGGACCTCCTAGTGCGGAACGCTGTAAGCCATTTCAGGGAATGAGGACTTTCTTCCGAGACAAATGACTTGATGAGATTTGCATTCTGTAAACATCACTTGAGCTTCTAAATGGCCACCTTTGTAATGGGAAAGATGCAGTATAAGCTACATAAAGTACATCATAAGGAGTATTTTCCATGTTAACAATTATTTTGACAGAACCCGAAGAGGCTAGAGGTGCGGGTACAATGCCTGCTCATGGTTTGTTTTGGTTATATGTAGATAGCATCTTTGACAATTTAGGTGTGACAGTGAAGGCGCCGTTAAGATGCTTAAATGGGTGATGGAAATGTCCGGTAATGTGGACATGAGTCAGCGTCGCTCACAGCAG